CCTGAGGACTGACGAGAAGATCGTGGGGCTGGAAGAAGAGATAGACAAGTTGCGCTGGCATATTATAGGATTATCCGAAGTCCGAAGAGAGGGGGAGGACACGGTAATCCTCGAATCCGGCAACTTGCTCTATCACCGGGAGGGCGACCATCTGTCCCAAGGAGGTGTCGGATTTATCGTCCACAAGTCTCTCGTTAACAACGTTGTAAAGATCGGGAGTGTGTCGACGAGGGTTGCGTACCTTATACTCAGAATCACCAAACGGTATTCGCTGAAGGTCATACAGGTTTACGCACCAACCTCGGCACACCCCGATAAGGAGGTGGAGGAAATGTATGAGGATATCTCTAGAGCCATGCATTCCTCCAAAACCCAATATACGGTGTTAATGGGAGACTTCAATGCAAAACTAGGCACAAGAGAGAACGGTGAGCTGAAATTAGGGAAATTTGGAATAGGGCAACGGAACCCAAGGGGCCAGCAGCTGGCCGACTTCATGGAGAAAGAGGGACTCTTTATGATGAACTCTTTCTTCCAGAAGCGGCCCCACAGGAAGTGGACCTGGTCGAGCCCCGACGGTTCCACAAAAAATGAGATTGACTTCATTATGACGACCAGACGACAACTGTTCAGTGATGTCTCCGTGATCGCGAGGGTGAAAACTGGTAGCGATCACCGAATGGTTAGAGGCACACTGAACCTAAACGTTAAGTTGGAGAGGTCACGTCTAATGAAGTCAACGATCCGTCCCCCTCGTGCTCTGTTCCAAAGTCCCGAAACCTTTCAGCTCGAGTTACAAAACCGTTTTCAGTGCCTAGAAGACTGCAATGAAGTGGACGATTTGAATGACAAACTCGTGGAAACTGTCCATGCGGTCGGAGCTAAGTTCTGCAAGACCCGCCGCAGAAGAACACAAAAACTCTCCGATCACACTCTTAATCTCATGGCTGTTACACGGGAGATGAAGCTACATTCTTCAACAGACTTGACAGCATACAGGCATCTGAACAGACAGATCTCCAAATGCATGCGGCGGGACTTACGCAACTTCAATACAGATCGTATTGAAGAAGCGATCGAGCGGAACCAAGGCTCCAAAGTATTTGCCAGAGATCTGTCTGCCAGAAAGAGCCAACTGTCAAAGCTGAAGACAGAATGTGGCAGCATCGTTTCCGGGACACCTGAGATTTTGAGAGAGATTGAGAGGTTCTATGGGCAGCTGTACACATCATCGTTGGAGCCACACGCAAGTGTGAGTAACGATCCAAGAACGAGTCTCATCCGACACTATTCCGAAGATATCCCGGATGTCAGTCTGAGCGAGATTAGGATGGCTCTCCAGCACCTTAAAAACGGTAGGGCCCCAGGCGAGGATGGAATTACAGCGGAGCTTCTGAAAGCGGGTGGAAGACCGGTACTTGAAGTCCTTCAGAAGCTCTTTAATTCTGTCCTCCATGGTGGCATTACACCAAAGGCGTGGAGCAGAAGTGCGGTGGTCTTGTTCTTCAAGAAAGGTGACAACGCTCTCTTGAAGAACTACAGACCGATTTCCCTTCTGAGCCGCGTCTACGTGCTGTTTTCGAGAGTCATTACGAATCGTCTCGCGCGCAGACTTGACGACTTCCAGCCTCCCGAACAAGCCGGTTTCCGAAAGGGCTTTAGCACCATAGACCACATACATACCCTTCGGCAAGTTGTACAGAAGTCCGAAGAGTACAATTTGCCACTATGTCTGGCGTATGTGGACTATGAGAAAGCCTTTGATTCCGTCGAAATTTGGGCGGTGCTGCAGTCCCTTCAGCGGTGCCAAGTTGACTGTCGGTATATCGAAGTGTTGAAGTGCTTGTACAGTAGGGCTACGATGGCTATCCGAGTACAGAACCAGAATACGAAACCTATCCAATTGCAGAGAGGTGTAAGACAGGGTGACGTCATATCCCCGAAACTCTTCACCGCTGCATTGGAAGATGTTTTCAAGCTTCTGGACTGGAAAGGATACGGTATCAACATCAATGGCGAGTACATCACTCACCTTCGATTTGCCGACGATATAGTCCTTATGGCAGAATCGCTGGAGGACCTAAGCACTATGCTCAATGACCTCAATAGTGTTTCCCAACGGATAGGTCTTAAGATGAACATGGACAAAACAAAGATCATGTTTAATGTCCATGTCACACCTATGCCGGTAGTTGTTGGGAGCACTAAGCTCGAAGTTGTTGACGAGTATGTTTACCTGGGACAAATAGTCCGACTAGGTAAGTCCAACTTCGACCGAGAGGTCAATCGACGGATTCAACTCGGCTGGGCAGCGTTCGGGAAGCTACGACACATCTTCTCGTCAGACATACCTCAAAACCTTAAAACGAAATTGTACAACCAGTGCGTGTTGCCAGTGATGACTTACGGAACTGAGACGTGGTCCTTCACTGCTGGCCGTATGAGGAAGCTCAAGGTCGCTCAGCGAGCTATGGAGAGGGCTATGCTCGGAGTTTCTCTGCGTGATAAACTTAGGAATGAGGATATCCGCAGTAGAACCAGAGTGACCGACATAGCCCAACGGATTAGTAAGCTGAAGTGGCAGTGGGCCGGCCATATAGCTCGAAGAACCGACAACCGATGGGGAAGAAAGGTTCTCGAGTGGCAGCCTCGTACCGGTAGGCGAAGTGTAGGGCGTCCCCCCACGAGATGGAGTGACGACCTGGTAAGACATGCAGGAAGTCGATGGATGCAGGTGGCTCAGGACCGTGCTTTGTGGCATTCTTTGGGGGAGGCCTATGTTCAGCAGTGGACTTGTGAAGGGCTGTAATGATGAGTATAGATCTGAATCGATGGGTTTACCCGGCGGTAAAAGCGCTTATGATGATGCTCTTACAATTCCACCATACACACAGCATCACCTTATTGCGCGGTTTCGCTACACTCTGTGGAGCTTGACTACCCTTTGACCATGATCTTTTTCGCAGAGTCTTGTCGTAGGTCATCCATTTTTTTGTCACCAGTGATCAATCTTTTCAAAAATGGTTCGATTTCATTACGTTTCAATAGAGAATCGCTATTGAGTACACGATACATTAGATTTCTTTCAGTGAGCTCATGTGGTACCAAAATATCGAGATTTTTGTAAAGCCAAAATTTTTAAAATTGGTCAAAACTATTATGTGGTCAATTCTCAATTTTTCGGCTATGTCGTAACTACTAATAGCCTTGCTTCACTTTTTCAATAATGGCATTGACTTTATCCGTATGAAGGCGACCAGAGCGAGATGCATCTTTGACATCAACATTACCGGACTAAAAACGCTTGAACCAATTTTATGAGTCTCATTTTTCTCTTTATTGTAATAAAACTTCAGAATGTATCGAATTTCTTCGTTAGATTCACTTATTTTGGTGGACAAAAAAACAATTGAAAATGGCGAGAAATTTTTTTTAACTTTTTATTTTTCTTTTTCTTATTGTCCATGTGTATTGATATTAAAACCAGACAGATACATACAGTACAACCAAAGAGATATTTCTTCAATTTTATACAAAAAAAAAAATACCCTGTATGTATGATTATACAGGGTTATTTTGTAATAACGGGCCAAATTTGTAGAGAAGATTCAAATTAAGGAATATAAGCAAATTATGAAGAAAAATTTATTAAAAAATATATCAAACTTTCTTTCCTTTTTTTCTTTAAATTCAAAATGCGGTAATGCATTATTTTAGCTGGTTTTACTGCTCAGTACACATTCGCAAGGGTCGATCACTAGGCAAAAACGTTGTTGCCCATAAATCACATTCAATTTGGGATAATTTCAAATAAAAGTAGAAGCCTTATTTACCCATATTTTCAAAAAATGCATTAACGGTATATCATTGTTTATATATTTGAACTTAAGTTTAAAATTTGGGTAGGTACTCTTTAAAAAATAACCCTTTATAGAACATCTCATTCCCATAATTAAGACGAATCTAACGATACTTAAGGTAAAATCCATCAAACCGTTTAGGCTACAGACCGTGCCAAAGAAATAGACATATACCTTTGTCTCGCTTTTTTGTATATTAAATTAATAGACAAAATTACTGTCTTATTATCGTATATATAGACTAAAAATCGATAATGAATTGTAAATATCATCGATATAGGTATATGCACTACGCACTAGATTTCGCATTCCGAATATAGACTATGTTCAACTGATCCGTACTCTAAACTAATTTTTTTTTTTATTTCGAAATATGTTTGTTTAGATTAAAATTAGAGTATTTTATATATTTATTTACATAACATAATATACAATATTAAAAACTATAATAATAAAAAAAATAAAACTAGAAACTTAATTATCATATAGTCCTACTCCCCGCGGTATCGTGCCAAGAACTCTGGCTGCGTTTCCCCGCTGAATGGCTATACTTAGTCTTTTATATTAAATTCTTATATTTATTTTATATCAATATGTTATTTTATATTAAAGTCTTCGCGCATGTGCGACTTCACTATTTCCGCGCATATGCGAAGACATAGAGTAGCGCACAATTTTTGTTTGGTATAGCTTCTCTAGTACATATTTACCATTGGTTGCGTGATTGCAATTCATATTTACCATTGAGTTATATTGTAACTCAATGGTAAATATGAATTGCAACCATTACGTTAGACAATTTAAAAGTAAATTTCTTTTTTAATTAATGTTTTATTACTAATATTTAATATTATTGTTGTAGAATCCTTGCATCTTACGATTCTCTACTTTAATATCTTCCCCGTAACTTAGATCAAAATTGAGAAACCCTGAGTTATCAATATAATCGAAACTGTGGCTTGTAAATGTCTATGGGTCACAGTAACCACTTACCATCGGGTGGACTGTGTGCTCGTTTGTCACCCTATCCTATAAAAAAAAAAGATATATCATGCGTATGTGTACCCAATAATTTATTTTACTTACAGGCTATTTCGTTTAAATCCCGTCACAAAAACTTACTTTAAAGCAATTAAAGACATGGACGAGGAACAGCTGTCGAAGAGTTATCAGTTCAAAGCCCACGCAATAAATCTGATGTCATCAATAAACACGGCGGTGACAAACCTCAATCAACCGGAGGTCGTGATAGCGTTGATGAACAAATTAGGGGAAACACATAGAAAGCGACGCGTCGAACAGTTGCATTTCGATGTAAGTATTCAAAATTATTATACTAGATTCTATAAGCCGTCTGGTTTATGCTAGACCTTAAATATTCTGATGATGAGAAGCAAAGCTGCAAAACACCTGGTACCGCAATCGCTAAATTTCTTTACATGTAACGCCAGTCCTTGAGCAGAACCCCACCTGGTGGTAAGTAGTGATGGTAAATTGCACTGTCTTAGCGTAACGAAATCTTATTCACTCATGCATTGAAGACGCCCTGATTATAAAGGAGCGGAAAGAAAATCGCCGGCAAATTATTCAATTCGCCTGATTACCTAAAGGTGGAAAGAGAAGCGAGGAATCTAAGCATGTAATTCTAGCGCAAATTATCTAAAACAGGTCCTATATAATACCAAATATCTGGCTACTCCTCATCTCCTTCTTCCTAATTACCTCGATAGTTTTCGGTTCTCTACATGCGATTTACGTTGAATTTTCTGCCTCCCACCACCACACTGTGTAATTTACTGTCACTAGCGGTCTTTCCGGACCGATACGACTTAGGAACTTTCAAAAAAAGAGCCTACTCCTTTCTAAAAGGCCGGCAACGTATATGTTCACTGGCAACGGTGAACACTTACCATCAGGTGAGCCCTATACTCGTTTGTCCCCTCTTCAATAAAAATGCTCTAGTCTGACAAGATTAACTTTATTTAATCTTTCATAATATGAATAATTTTATACGTAGTAGAGCCATGCTGCAGCTATATTTCTGGTAGTTGTAACACAAATGGGTCGGCTCGACCGGGGAAGGACCACGCTCTCACAGAATACCAGCATAAAATAGCAGCTTAATGCTGCTGTGTTTCATATGGTGAGTATAGAGAACCGGAGACCCTTTTTACTGGAAACGAGGCATTCCATCTTAGTCCTCACGGGTGACAACGCATCTGCATTTTGATTCATAATCGAGGACAAATGTAGATGTCTATGGGCCACAGCAACCACTTACCATCACGTGGACTGTGTGCTCGTTTGTCACCCTTATCCTATAAAAAAAATGAAAAATAATTATTATAATATAGATTAATAATTAAACCAAATCAAGATCACCAATAAGCCTCTTAGCACGCCTGCAAATCTGCCTGCTTAGCATGTCAAATCCCACAACGGGGAAGACCCATGTCTACCTGTTGACTTTTACGAGGAGACAAAGAAGAAATGTAAGAAATTATAATTTTTGATATATTTTCAGCAAGTAAAAGAAGTACTGGTGGGCATTCTTCGTAATGATATGAAATTATCAGTAGATATTATCAGCTCTTGGGTGAAATTCGTGACATTTATTTATAAGCATATATTCGAAGTATTAAACGATAAATAGATGTGAAATCTGTATTCCATTATTATTGTAAATTATTTAATTTAATAAGAGATTATGATATTGTGATAAAAGTAACATTATGTGACGTGAATTAAAATATTTTTGCATTATTTTGTAGTTTGAATTATAATATTATATTAATAAAGATTATAATAAAAATTGACAAAGTCATAGCCGTGTTTCTGACTCGAAAAGTGAACCGATTTTATTTATTTTTTTGCAAAAACGATTTAAGGAGAATTTTGGCTGTCTATATTTTTATTTTTCTTCTCGATAAATTTGTTTGCTGTTTGTCTAAAGCAGATACTGCCTATCAAAAGCCTACTTCTGATAATAGACCTCCATCTTAAATTGCCTCATAAGCGAATATTTGCATAGTTGCCACGCAAATTATAGGAATGAGGCTGTGGTAAAATATAACTGTGATAAAATGCAACTCTCAGAAATGTTCAGGAAATATAATATAACTCAATGGTAAATATGAATTGCAACCATTACGTTAGACAATTTAAAAGTAAATTTCTTTTTTAATTAATGTTTTATTACTAATATTTAATATTATTGTTGTAGAATCCTTGCATCTTACGATTCTCTACTTTAATATCTTCCCTGTAACTTAGATCAAAATTGAGAAACCCTGAGTTATCAATATAATCGAAACTGTGGCTTGTAATGAATTTAGGTTAATAATTTCTTGAACATTTCTGAGAGTTGGATTCAGAAGTCAATACATGGTCATTTATGTTAAATTGTTACTTTATTGTAACAATTTTGGGCGAAACAAATCAGGAGATGGTCAGCAGTGTCTTCTTAATAACGACTAAAAATAAAAAATTGCCAACTTACTAGCCAAGCGTGGCAACTATGGTAAATATTCCCACTATGACGGAATCTATGGGCTAGTCCTATGTTCAGCAGTGGACTTTCATAGGCTGTAACGCTCAACACTAGAGCAAGTTTTTTTTATAGGAGAGGGGGCAAACGAGCATGTGGCTCACCTGATGGTAAGTGACTACCGCCGCCCATAAACAACTGCAACGCCAGGGGAGTTGCATTTTATCACAGTTATATTTTACCACAGCCTCATTCCTATAATTTGCGTGGCAACTATGCAAATATTCGCTTATGAGGCAATTTAAGATGGAGGTCTATTATCAGAAGTAGGCTTTTGATAGGCAGTATCTGCTTTAGACAAACAGCAAACAAATTTATCGAGAAGAAAAATAAAAATATAGACAGCCAAAATTCTCCTTAAATCGTTCTTGCAAAACAATAAATAAAATCGGTTCACTTTTGGAGTCAGAAACATGGCTATGACTTTGTCAATTTTAATATAATCTTTATTAATATAATATTATAATTCAAACTACAAAATAATGCAAAAATATTTTAATTCACGTCACATAATGTTACTTTTATCACAATATTATAATCTCTTATTAAATTAAATAATTTACAATAATAATGGAATACAGATTTCACATCTATTTATCGTTTAATACTTCGAATATATGCTTATAAATAAATGTCACGAATTTCACCCAAGAGCTGATAATATCTTCTGATAATTTCATATCATTACGAAGAATGCCCACCAGTACTTCTTTTACTTGCTGAAAATATATCAAAAATTATAATTTCTTACATTTCTTCTTTGTCTCCTCGTAAAAGTCAACAGGTAGACATGGGTCTTCCCCGTTGTGGGATTTGACATGCTAAGCAGGCAGATTTACAGGCGTGCTAAGAGGCTTATTGGTGATCTTGATTTGGTTTAATTATTAATCTATATTATAATTATTATTTTTCATTTTTTTATAGGATAAGGGTGACAAACGAGCACACAGTCCACGTGATGGTAAGTGGTTGCTGTGGCCCATAGACATCTACATTTGTCCTCGATTATGAATCAAAATGCAGATGCGTTGTCACCCGTGAGGACTAAGATGGAATGCCTCGTTTCCAGTAAAAAGGGTCTCCGGTTCTCTACACTCACCATATGAAACACAGCAGCATTAAGCTGCTATTTTACGCTGGTATTCTATGAGAGCGTGGTCCTTCCCTGGTCGAGCCGACCCATTTGTGTTACAACTATACCAGAAATATAGCTGCAGCTTGGCTCTACCACGTATAAAATTATTCATATTATGAAAGATTAAATAAAGTTAATCTTGTCAGACTAGAGCATGTTTATGGAAGAGGGGACAAACGAGTATAGGGCTCACCTGATGGTAAGTGTTCACCGTTGCCAGTGAACATATACGTTGCCGGCCGCTTAGAAAGGAGTAGGCTCTTTTTTTGAAAGTTCCTAAATCGTATCGGTCCGGAAAGACCGCTAGTGACAGTAAATTACACAGTGTGGTGGTGGGAGGCAGAAAATTCAACGTAAATCGCATGTAGAGAACCGAAAACTATCGAGGCAATGAGGAAGAATGAGATGAAGAGTAGCCAGATATTTGGTATTATATAGGACATGTTTTGGATAATTTGCGCTAGAATTACATGCTTAGATTCCTCGCTACTCTTTTCACCTTTGGGTAATCAGGCGAATTGAATAATTTGCCGGCGATTTTCTTTCCGCTCCTTTATAATCAGGGCGTCTTCAATGCATGAGTGAATAAGATTTCGTTACGATAAGACAGTGCAATTTACCATCACTACTTACCACCAGGTGGGGTTCTGCTCAAGGACTGGCGTTACATGTAAAGAAATTTAGCGATTGCGGTACCAGGTGTTTTGCAGCTTTGCTTCTCATCATCAGAATATTTAAGGTCTAGCATAAACCAGACGGCTTATAGAATCTAGTATAATAATTTTGAATACTTACATCGAAATGCAACTGTTCGACGCGTCGCTTTCTATGTGTTTCCCCTAATTTGTTCATCAACGCTATCACGACCTCCGGTTGATTGAGGTTTGTCACCGCCGTGTTTATTGATGACATCAGATTTATTGCGTGGGCTTTGAACTGATAACTCTTCGACAGCTGTTCCTCGTCCATGTCTTTAATTGCTTTAAAGTAAGTTTTTGTGACGGGATTTAAACGAAATAGCCTGTAAGTAAAATAAATTATTGGGTACACATACGCATGATGCATCTCATTACATCTTTTTCATTCTTATAAGAAAATTTAAAAAAAAATAGCCAAACAGAAATTGTCAATGGTCTTCCCTAATTTAGTAAAGGTTCATTTATTTAACAAAAAAAAGGTTTTAATTATCAGCATATGTAATATAATAAAATTAATGTTTGTTTGTTCGTATTTTATGCGCTACCGTACCGTCAGATTGCGGTAAAACTTTCACAAGTTATTGCAGTTTATTGCACTTGCGCGAAGGTATTTACCATAGCATGGTATATAGCATGGCCATAGCACAATTGACTTACACTAGGTGGTGCGCGTGTTGTACCGACATTTTATTTTAAAGTTATAGATCATTCAATTTCAATTATTGTATTATCATTACTAATTAAACAATACAACTCTTCCAAATGTGTAACGATATTTCCACAATTATTTATTTTGCGGCAACAATGCACCGGGTACCAGCTAGTAATATATAAATAGGAATGTAGCCGTAAGAGTGTGCTTCTCAATTCATTTTAGAATTTCACAAAGACAGACTCCTAAACAAAAACGGAGTCCTATATTATTAAAAAAAAAAACATTTTACTGTTTTAGTTTAGAAATTATTTACTGATTTAGTTTAGAAATGTTATTCTAGGCTAGAAAATATTTACACCCACAAAACCCCAAAATAGGACGGACACCTTAATACTAATGCATGAGTGACATCTGCTGGTAAACAGTAATAATAATGTCCTCTAGACCGAAAGTCGGTCACAGCGGCCAGTCTGAACGGAGACTAGGCATTCGCGCAAGGCAGGATTATAGTACCAGAGTGTATGCGCAAGCACAGTTGCATTCTGTTTATCCTCACTCTCTGTTCGGGTAATGGACGACTGTTCAATAATAATTTAGATTTTATGTTAAAACAGTTTAATAAACAAGTAAAAAATATAAGATTAAAATATGTTGAATAATGCTAAATGTTAATGTTAAATGTTATGTTGATGAGTTCGCGTCCGTCGCGTTTACGGTGAAAACGTGAACTAACTCAGTTGTTATAATTGTCCAACTACGCAATGCAATCGCTATACATTGCGTAAAATGTTAACGCCAGCAGAAATGTACGGTTGGACCGTACATGCTGCCGGGCCAAAATGTGAAGAGATGATTATAATGTAAGTTAGGTGATATGTGATTGATGAGATGATCTTATTTAAGTAACAAGGTGATAAACAATTTGTAACTTAACCTAGTGAATGATTGTTATTTGTAAGATGAAAATGGTTACAGTATCTAACTTATTATTAAACAATTATTTTTATAATTAGATATTAAAATGTCTTTGCGGTATGGGAGAACACGCTTTGTTTTGTTTTTCAATTTCACACGACACATCACCTATATTGCCCATATGTTGACGGTCAACATCACAATTTCGCGCACTAGCACTCACTGTGAAAACACTAGGCTTACGGTAAGCCTTTCTTTGATTTCGCGCACTCACTGCACTAACACTACTCGCCGACTGCAGCTCCAAGTCTGGGGAGATGGGTGCACGCCGCCGCCGTCGCCGCCATCTCCACACGAACACCGCCGCCAAGACTGCTGCCACTCCGATTAACACGTAGTTGATTGCATAGTGATGGATGTCGTGCGACGATAATGTTGTTAATTGCACGTTATTCTTTTTCAGGTCTTTTATTTGACGGTCTAAGTTATGTAAGGAACTGTTCAAATCTGATAAGTTGGTGTCATTTTCGTCAAATGTTTCTAAAGGTATGCTTATTTTGATGATGTTATTCAATGGGTCAATTTTTGGAAGAATTAAGTCCTTATTCATCTCAATTTGATGGGTGTAAATTTGGTGGGAGAGCAACGTAAAATCTTGACCTTTTAGCAAACATCCCTTATCGAGAGATATCACTCCTGCTTTAGTTAGGCGTTCCCCAATTACACGATCAGAGCAAATAATTTTAACATCATATGTGTTGCAGCAGTGGAATAGGTATTGTGAAGGGTTATTCAGCGGTAGCCATTTATTTGTACAAGATGTCTTATAGATCCTGCATCTACTTGTTGTTTGATCTAATTGGCAAAAATTCTTGTCTTCTGAAAGATGGTAAATGGGCTGTCGGATAGGACACAAATAAACATCCTCCTCATGTAAACATAAATATAAGTCCTTGTTTGTGATTTTTAAATAAGTATCCTTTCGTAAACTAATAGCTGTGTATTCTGCAATTGGAAAAATGCTTGTCTCTATATTATTCTCTACCTGGTGAGGAATTGTTATAATTTTGTATAATTTGTATTTGTCTCTATTCAGAAGGGGAAATATTACCTCGAATATAAGATATTTTTGCATCATTCTAGCTTTGACCTTAAGTAGTTTATAAATTTTATGAACTTCTTGTTGTATATTTTCTATTGGTAATGTTATATCTTCTGTTAAATGACCAGAGATTATGTGGAGTTCTTCTCGAAGTTGTTCGGCTGTTAATAAATGCATGTTAAATTGACCATGGTATATGTCTGTTAGAGTTTCAAGAAGATTCTCCTGAGTGATTTTTATATTTTGAAGCATATTGCTGGCTATTAAAGAAGACATAGTAAAATCTTGCGCCATTGACATATTTTTTATTTCCTTTTGAATGTTGTTGGTCTGTTTTTCCAAGTTTATCAAATGTCTGTTAATAATTTTATGTTGTTTGGCTACCAAATATTCGGTACGTTTTAATAAATTATATTCAGATTCCAATACAGACGTTTGTTTCTTCCATAAATTCAATAAATGGTTTTGGTTTTGTCTAACAAGTTCAATATTCTTACTATACTGTTCCGCGAAACGTTCGTCCAGTACGCCGAACAAACTATTTGCCAAGTAGCCTATTCCATTCACAAGTCCCCGTCGCTGTCTGGAGCGTCCGACGAAATGCTGATTCAATAGGTTTGACAACAAGCGAAGAATTTTCGTATCTCACATTAGCCTATTGCTTGGTTTCCCTAATATTCAGCAGCAGGCGGTAAATCAAATTAAAAAATTACATGATACTACTTTAGAGTGTTTAAACGCGATTAAAAACTTAGGCGTAGACATTAACACATGGGATCCGTTACTAGTACACATATTGTCGCAAAAATTAGACATGGAAACATATACAGGATACATAGAATCGCAAAAAAGGCCTAGAGATCTACCCGTGCTGCAGGAGTTTCTGGACTACTTGGAAAGCAAATTTACAACACTTGAATTATGTCGGCGAAAACAAGAAAATACATCAAAATTAAACGTTCAGTCTCAATATAACTTCAATAATTCATCATCGAGTAATAATTACAAAAAGCAATTCAATTTTAATCAAAATACGACGAACAAACATATTGCAAAATCATATAACGTTACTGGAATCAAATGTCCTCTTTGTAATGATGATCATGGCATTTACAATTGCAAAACATTTTTAGCAATGCCAAATGGAATTAAATTAAAAACCACCAACAAATTGAAACTTTGCATAAATTGTTTATTTAGCCACAACGGAAATCCATGTATTTCAACACAAAGGTGCCGTAAATGCTTGCAGAAACATAATACTCTGTTACATGACGCGTTCACAAAGTCCATATCCGGTACACAGGTTGCGAAAAAACTTATCGAGTCCGTGACAAACACTTCGCACGTATCACAAAATAAGAAGCCTAAAATAAGAATTTAGATTTTATGTTAAAACAGTTTAATAAACAAGTAAAAAATATAAGATTAAAATATGTTGAATAATGCTAAATGTTAATGTTAAATGTTATGTTGATGAGTTCGCGTCCGTCGCGTTTACGGTGAAAACGTGAACTAACTCAGTTGTTATAATTGTCCAACTACGCAATGCAATCGCTATACATTGCGTAAAATGTTAACGCCAGCAGAAATGTACGGTTGGACCGTACACTCTCATAGTCCGATGGGACGGTAACCCGACACGACAGGAGAGAAATCAGGCGCAGGACCAACGACCTAATATGTGCTTTCAAAGGCACGAGGGTGAAACACCTCTCACTTACTGACTCTGGGATGTTACTGAGAATTTCTTGTCAGAAAAAACCTAATAACTGATTTTGGCGCGACCCGGGATTCAAACCCAGAACCAGAACGTTTACGACTACTGAAGCAACGAGGCAGTCTGAAACTTGTAGATGGGGCTGTGATTCATGAGGAAACCACCTTTTCTAGAAACAATTTATTTCGATGACCGTTTTAACACTTATATTTAATAATTTACCGTATAAACAGTTGAAGACCGTAATGTCCTGCTTCTGCGTATATCACCGCCCAAGAGCGCTGAACAGCGTAGACATCTCTAGGACTAAGACCGGTCACCGGATGGTCCTTATCAGGATCCCCGCCCCACCATAATCGATTTAAAATGCCTCCCATCTCTGTAAATTAGATATCAGGTGATTTCAAAAAATACATACATTACAAGATATTTCCGTAAATAATAATTTACCAATTTAGTCGTTTTTTTTTTAATTTACTGGTAGATTGACATGGTAGAGTCACGCCAGTCTATTATGATGGAATGGGTTGGCTGGCCCGTCTATGGACCACAAATACACTTACAATCAAGAAAACAATTTGATATGATAAATCATTAATATCATCGAATATGTCTTTAAATAATGGAATAACAAGTTTCAGAAGAACTTCTTCTTCTTTTATATCAGTGAGGCAGGCTCTATTCTGCTTGTCACTCTTTTAGAAACGACAGGGCAAGTATCCTGTAGTGGACGCTTAAAGATAATTATTAATATATAACGTTATATGTTAACAGTTTATAATAAGTGGTCAAAACACCTGACGGTAAAATGACGGCGTGGCCCAGAAATCAAAACGCTGTTGCATCATCGCTGAGTACTAAAATGTAATGTCTTGTAACCAGTTAAATGATCTCCAAGTCAAGTCATTCACATACAGAATATAGCATAATTATGATTGCATTTCACGTTAGTTTTCTGTGAACGCTTTTTCTTCGCAGGTTGAGCCGACACATTCCTGTAGCTGCCGTAATACAATGCAGAGTGACTCTACATCGTAGTAAAAGATAAACGACCTTACTCAGAGTCAACTTAATTGCCCCTCTACACTACTCGTGAAGTTGATCGAAGTTGGGCGAGGAGAATAGCGTAAAGAGATACTTCGATTTGCTTCGTGCAACCTTGCTTCGCCTCCGATCGCTGTCGGTTTTTTGCGCCCGAGTCAAAAGACTTCGCAAAGTGCCCCGAAGTTACACGAAGCGACTCACTGCACTACTCGGCGTACGTCAGTTATATATAATTTTTTTTTTATATATAAATATTAAATATGTAGCTTTCTATAAAATTGCATACAAATTCGAATTTTGTGGTTATCTGTGTCGATCTCAAGATCATTGCAATTAATAGTTCGGATTGACAATTCAAATAGTTTTAAGTTGATGAAGAACTATAAAAGTCATGCCTAATTAAGCATTTGTGGCATTGTTTTTGTGCAGACAGCGTGAGAGACTTTTGGGTCCAATCAGTGACATCAGTTACTATTAAAATAAATACCCAAAAAATTTAACAAACGCTCTTATTTAAATGCGACTAAATTATACATATAATTTTTATACATACATTATAATTATATAAAAAAAGATAAGGCTATTGAGGATATAAAAAGAATAACCATGCACTATGATTGTGGTGTTGCGTGTAATTTGTATCATACGTTTTAATTCTTTTGCTTATTGTCTTAAATCTTTTATTGTTTTATATATTAACACACGAGGTGGTTTGATTGCGTAATGTTGAATATAATTTGAAGAATTTAGATTTATAGATTGTTTTTAATACCACTTATCTATATATCTCTGTTGAGTAGGTGAAACAGTCGTCAAATGACGCCCTTACCCTGGATGAGAGCTTATGACATAATTGGCGATACGTTGAAAATATTTTTTTTTTATAGGATAAGGTGATAAGCGAGCACACAGTCCAGCTGATGGTAAGTGGTTGCTGTGACCCATAGACATCTACATCTTCCTCAATAAAGAAACAAAATGCAGATGAGTCGTCACCCGTGAGGACTAAGATGGAATGCCTCTTTTCCAGTAAAATGGGTCTCCGGTTCTCTACACTCACCATACGAAACACAGCTGTGTTAAGCTGCTATTTTACGCTGGTATACTGTGAGAACGTGGTCCTTCCCCGATCGAGCCGACCCATTCGTGCTACAACTATACTGCTAATATAGCTGCAGCATGGCTTTACCACGTATTGAAAGGTTAAATTACGAGTACCATTAACCGAAGAGCATGTATGTGTCAGAATCGTGCCAAAGGAAAGTTCGTAGTCCCTGTCTACCCTTCTGGCTCACAGGCGTAAGAGTTTATGTATTTTTGTATGTATTAATTTCTTGTGTCTTATTTCCGTAAAGCTAATTTTGGAAGTCAGTATCTTTTAACAGAAAATATCTAATAGATGAAGGAAGACTCCCTCCAAATGTTTTGGAAAATAAAAACTGAGTTGAAAAATCTTTAAATTAATTCTTTCTAAATATTGTATTTATTTTATATCGTTATTAAAAATTTAATTTTGATCCAAAATGATTATTAAGAAACAAAACTAGCCTATTGGGCTACCGATTATAATTTTGGGCATGGAATGTGAATAGAAACATCAAAATTTCAATAGAGGAGATGGCTGAGTGTAACCATTTGTTTAGGATCCTATAATTAATGAAATTATATTCAAACCCAAGAATACCACTGCAACACTTTAAGATACTGTAACCTCGTTCTGCGTAGATTGGACTAAAAATTAATATTGAAACGCTAAAGGTAGCTTGGGATAACTATGACATCGGGGCCTCTCATACCAGTCTTCTCGAGACTATGGGTGCTGTAGCACCCGAAACGTCGGGAATTAAAAATTACTCGATAAAATCCATAAAATTCGTTTTATTCAATGTCAAGTATTCGTGTAAATTTCAGAAATCATTACGGAATGTGGAACTAAATATTGTAGGTTTCAATCTATTCTAAGACTTGACTATTATTATGAACTTTAAATAGCTCCTTTCCTGAATTATTAACAATTTATTTAGATGTATTTTTGAATGGTATATTGATTTATGTAATTATTTTCTTAAATAAAAAAAGAAATCACCAACCAACCAGTAGAAATTTAAAAATATGATAATGGATCCCAATATTTTCATACACCGATGTTTTATGAACGGATGCACTATGATTTGTTTTGTACTTTATATGTACAAAATGTCAGTCTTCAAACATCAAGTTCATATGATCGGTGATACATGAACAAAGAAAAAAAAATATAAGAAAATTGTCATACAAGGATGACTTATGATGAGGAATGTATTTTATAAAGTATCTATCTAAATCTAAAAAAGAAATCTAAATCTTATAAATAAGTTTCAAAATAATTGAATTCATTTTGCACAGATAACGTAACGTACGTATACTTCTATATTATTATGTTTAAATAAATATTAAAAGTTTTATGTTCAATTTTACTAGGTACCTAACTAATTTTGTTCACCTGATATAATAAATTTAATTAAAGATTTAGTAATTTACTTATTTCCTTAATTAATAATAAACTTGTATACTTTACGTACCGTTTCTCAATGAAGTTTATCTGTTGTCGTTTTTGAAAGGTACATATAAATTATGGCGGGAAAATAAACATATAAAATATATTTTGCCTTATGAATACTAAGATAATATTATAAACGTAACGTACGGGCGTACGGACGATCACGATAGACTAAACTACTCTTGAGGCGGTCATTCTATTCAATTTTATTTTCCAGCTTGTCATGCTTTAAACGACTGTAGCACATGGTGCCAAAATAAATATCAATTAGGCGTTGTCATGTTTGAAATTTTAGACTTTTTTAATCTTATCCGGTAGTATATCCTGTATAAGATGTATGTGGAACGTATAAAAAATCGACTTTCTCAAATTTGCCATTACAAAATTAACATAAGTAAATTATTGTACTCAATGGAATAAGTGTACGCGTGTGTTAAACTCAAATAAAAGTCCATGTTGTATTTTCTACCAAGTTTTTATTTTCAACTAAAATGCTAATATTTAAAATTTAAATTAAATGGATTTGCTAAGATCCGCGTGATAAAAGAAAAATGATATGTCTTACCTAGCTTGAAGAGGACCTGTCGTCCTCTACACTATCCCCGTCACCAATAATTCCGGCCGAAGTGTTTCGCCTCTACACGAGGCATCCTCAGGTGAAGTAAGTAGACTGCGGTGGCTGACTGTAGAGTCTATTTCGAGTAATACCACACGTCTTTAATATAATGGATTTCCGCAAAGTAAAGCCTGATTCTATTAATTATCTTAAATTTGTCTATTAATATTATACCTGTGTAATAATCCGTTATATTATCTCGAGAGTCGTGGAATCAATCTCAATATTATAAAAAATGTTTTCTTTCCCCGTGTCATTTAAAAAAAGACTTCCTAAAGTATTTTTTTTTGTCATGGAGATCTTTCACAAAGATAGATTTTATATGGAAAAACATTCTCAGTAACTAAAAAAATCTACCGATAAATTTTACGATGTTATCAATAACGAGAATATATTTAAGTGATAATAAATATTAGGTACAGAGTTAGTTTCTCACATTTTTATTAAAGATATAAAAAAAATTATCCGTATAAAATAGTATGCTTAGTCTCAATATTTATAAATCAAAACGGCTCGATCGATTTTGATTTATTTTTTTGTATGTTGGAGTGGGTCTCTGGATGGTTTAGATTCACAATGAGGGCATCCACGAC